CTCAAGAGCGCAGCTGACAGCCAAAACGCACCGTTAAATTGCTCCTGGAAAGTGACGGATGGAACCTGGCGGGGCGGCAGCGTGCCTACCCACCAGCTCCAGCCACACAGGGTCCCGCTGTCAGCACGCAGCACAGAGACTCCTGTGTTTCCCTTTCTGCAGCCACCTCTCCTCTTCTGCAGCAGGAGTTGTCCTATGCCTCAAAGGGTCTATGTCTATGGCTCACGGGCATGCGAAGGGGTAATGAGCTTCCTTTTGCGAAGCTGCCCTGGTGCTGAATGAACATGGCCTCCATCGGGGGAGGGGCTGGTGGGCATGCGAGAGCCGAGAACTGACAAAATCAGCCAGGAGCTCATCAGCTTGTTAATCATTAAGCCCAGCTCAACATTTACAGATAAAGAAACAGGTGTAGAGGAACTCAACAATTTGCACATGGCCACAGAGAAGCGGTTTGTTCCTAGTATGTCTTACTACCAGTTTTCACTAACACTTTCTCCAGAGTGATGTAAGTTGTAGAAATACGTTGCATACACTTTTCAAAACTCCATGTTAAAGAAAGTTAAATTGGTTTCTTTCTAGCAAGACTTCAGAGAACCTTTGAAATGGAAGTGGTCACTGAAATGCCAAGGGGTCTTGTGATTAAACAGTATGTAACAAGCCTATGTGGCCACAACTACCTACCAGGCCTACCCAGGGTTCTAATGAATGGAGCAAGCTGCCCATTCAGTCTTTTAAAAACTAAAAGCCAGGACTCGATTAGATGGCCATGGCTTGAATTCTAATTCTTCCACCTACCAGCTAGGTGACCTGGGACAGGTTGCTAACCCTTTCTACGCCTCTGTCCCTCATTTGTTAAAAAAGGCAGGGATTTTTCATTCCCCCTCCACATGTCGAGTAACAGTGAGGCCAGTAACAACTGTAGACACTGAGAACTGTTGGCGTCCCTAGATGGGAGACTACTCCAGAGACAGTACACATTTTCTGGAAGGGGCCAGGTGTAAAGATTTCTGCTTCCGTGTCCTGTGGGCTCTGTCACATGTGATTACTCTGCCCCGTGGTGGGGAGCAGCCTTAGACAATATTGAATATATTGAATATTGAATGAGCATGGTTCTGTCCACGGAATTTTATAGACTCTGAAATTTAAATTTCATACAATTTACACATCGCAAATAATCATTCTTTGAAAAGTTTCTCAACCTTTCAAACCATCAACTCTGTTCTTAATTCATGGGCAGCATAAAACCAGGCAGTGAGCCTGTGGGCTGTATGATGTGGAGTGGTTTGCAGAGTCTGAATACAAGGAGCTGGAGTAGAAAACAGGTCCAGAATGACTGTCCTTCCCGCCTTCAGCCAAGTCTGTCTGTGTTCCCAGCTCACAAAGCTTCACCTGCACCTAAGTTCACTTGGGAAAGAGTCTGGTGATGGCAGGCCAGACTCTGCTCAGCAGCCCAAAGAGGTGGTTTGTCTTCTGCTGGTGCACAGGCGAGCCAACCCGCCGATGTGACATGATTAACAGCGCCAGCAGCTGCTGATTGTTCCAAGATGAATAGGAGATGCTTGCAATTCTCCCTCTTATTACCCTATTTGTTTGCTGCCTTCGTCTGCATTATCAGGATGTCTCCGCGAGCAGGAGTTGCCTGGAAGTTTACAGGATAATTTATTAGAGGGTCTTGGCTCTTGGGAATGTCTCAAATTCATACATTTTCCACTCTGGCAGATTGTTATAATTCCAGCCAATGAGGGAACTCTACTGTAGACGTCTCCAAACGGGTACAAATTCCTTTAAAATAGAAAAGGTGATGAACACAATTTATATATCTGCCTTCCTTCTATATGCAGAGCGCTCCTAATTCTGGGACTGCTGTGATGGTTGAATAGCTGAAAACACAATTCTTTTCTGGAGTTCACTCTGCTCGCATGTGTCTGTAGCTGATGTAGTTGATTATAGCTCAAACTTCTCTGCGTTAGGAGCTTGTGACAATTATGCATGAATGAAGAAAAACCCATTCTCAAGCAGTAAGAACGAAGCATCTGTGTGTATATAGGTTATATGTGAACGCAGGTAACCCAGCAACTAATGTTTATTAAGCCTCCTGCTATGTGATGAGGCCAGGCACTGTACAGATATCTGATTCTCCCTTGACCCCTAAACTTTTTTTTTTTTTTTAATAACAGGGCAATAAATATCATTCCATAAATCCAACTTTTTTTTTTAAAGATTCATTTATTCATACAAACTGGGGTACAAGCCAGAGGTGCAGGGGCAGTGAGAAGCTTCACCAGAGACAGAGTGGGGAGCAGAACATGAAGATCAAGGAAGTACACTGCTGAGGGAGCAGCAGACAGGTCAAGAGAGGTCTGCCACGCCATGTGAACCACTTCCAGGGCCGGGGATCAAACTTGCACTGAAGCAGCTGCCACCAGCTTGCAATGCTGCGTCCTAACCCGTTGCACCACCAGGGAGGGCCCCCAAAAATCCAACTTTTAATGAAGAAAGACCATGTTCATTGTGACACTCCAGACACCAGCACACCAAGCAGCTGTTAGAAATACCAGTGTACTTTAACACATGGCTTTCACCTGATTTCTCCTATAGTTAGGCCAGGAAAAGAATAAATAATTTCAAACAACCACAAAACAAACTCTTCTCAATCATTCAGGGTGTTGACTAAATGTTCAGAATGCATGTTTAGAAAAATTCTTGCTCCCCATATTAAAACCATGGCAAAATACAAGCAACTACAGACACTGACCCAGAGCTCCTGGGAGCTGAGAACAAGGCAGGAGAGGGTTCATTTCAGAGGTGAGGAAAACGATTTGGAGGAAGCCAACTGGCTTAAGGTCCAGTGGAGATGGGAGTCTTGCTTGGTTCTAACTCCAAAGATGGATATTCTGTTTTTTCCAAGAATCACATCTATTTGCTGTTTTGTCTTGTTAAGAGTCCACGAGGTTGGTAAAAGCGGAGACAACCCTGGCAGGTCCCTGTCTGGCTACATCCCAAAGAGATGGTGACAAGCAGGCTTCTGGATCTGGTTTGAAAGCTGCATTTAAAACAACACTGCTCAACACTGATGTCACCAGGGCCAGTTCTGAATAGGAAGATGAGTTTTTGGCAGATTTTACTTCTTTCCTGACTCCTCTAAGCCACTCAGCTGGCCTTCCGCTTAGAATTCTTGTGATGCCAGGGAGTGGCCCACAATGAAGAGTTGATTGAAAACTGTCTTGCAGGGCTCCCGATTGCTTTGACTGGATCTTATGCAGGAAGGACTGGCATGTGGGTCTTACCTCATAGAACATGTGGTTTTGAAGCTTGTAGAGTGTGTGTACAGGAAGAACAGTGGTAGTGGGAGAGGGGATTCTTACAGATGAAGAAGAGGACACTGTTTGCCAAAGTCAAAGCCCTGGAGAAATGGGCTATAGTCAATCTATGCCCATGTCTACATACACTCATTCACATTTGCCATTTTTAGCCTAATTGGGACTACGGAAATGTCTAGTCGCTGGAGACCTTAAAGTGAGCAAGCCCCCATCCCCAGCCCCTCACCTAAACCCTGAGAAATGGGCTTACAGGTAGAACACTTGGATGTCAGTTTTCACTGCAGTCTGCCCAAATCCAAGCTCCTCCCACCTTTTCACACATAGCCTATGCTCCTTTTAGAACAATCAGTCTTCTCTGCAGTGTTGTTTATTTCTACTGCACTTAATAGATCCCAGGCTGCTGGGGAGAACATTATCATACTCACACACACCACTAAGGGTAGCCAGACTATACCCTGGCTTCTTGATGATTACCAGACAACACCTTGATCAAGATTTCTTGATCTGAACACAAAGATGGCTCTGAAATTCTCCTTGATGGGATTTTAGTTTCTTCAGAATGAAATAGTCCAGAGCTCTGACATCCCTGTCTTCCCATCTCTGTTGGGCAAGGCTGCTGCTCACCATGCCACAGGACTAACCAACCTGAGAACAAACATGGACATTCTCCATTTAAGTAAACCCTCCCACGCCCACTCCGTCACCAAGATGAATTCAAGAGCTTCTGTGAGGGGGTCACACCCAAGCATGGTGCTCCCCAAGAGGAGGTCTAGACATGAGAGGTCAGTGCTGGGATTTAGCTGACAACTAGAAGCCTACCCACAACTGACAGGACGCACTTTACTGAGGCCACCCTTGCATTTTCACCATAGAAGCAAATGTTTTGATGCATTTGGGGGGTAGTTTCCATGCTTCCCCAAATGGTCGTACCAGTGCTGACCTCAACAGGGACTCTCATAAAGGTGCCCCTCAGGTCAAGCTGAGGGACAGGAGGCACTGATCACCTATCTGTATCCATAATGGCCCATGGGAGACATCATCTGACTCCTGTTCCTCAAGTCTTCCAGATCCTTCCTAAATCAACCTTGGGACTACTGAAAAGTAAGGACAAAATAGAGTTGGGTTTGCTGTTTTCTGGGACAAATCACATTTTTAAAATAAAGGCCCTATAACATATTCTTCATTCTACCTCCAGTGCTGACAGGGACAAGAATAAATGGGGGTGGATCTTCAGGTATTCTATGTGGTTCCCTCATTCTTCAAAGGTCAAGTGATGGCTGTAACCTCAGCACGGATGACAAGTTCTCTTTGCTTGTGAGTTTCTTAGGCTTGACATCATTTTGCTTACATTCAAGTGACAATTTACCTCGAGCAGAAACAGCCATCTTTGAAGGTTTCCAGTCATATACTGCGTTTACATTAGCCATCGCTTCCATTTCCTTCAAGTCACTAGAACCCATTCTCAAGGAGGTAGAATTTGACTTTCCCCCCAAATCCAGTCATTCTTTTGACATAAGCATGAAGACATTCAAATCAACTTTAGCTTCCAACAACTTAAATTCTTAAAAATGAAACCAGCCTTCTTCTAGTCACATCGGCAATATTCCACGAGCTGCAAATCTTGAGTACAAAAGGTCCCTGACCACTACCTAAGAGCTAAAATCTACACAGACAGAAATAAAGATTTCAATGTAAATTTTACTATTTTATTTGTGAAAAAACTACAAGCAGAATTCATAAATAGACATTTCTATTTAAAGCAGGGAAATGATAAAGTGGCTTCTAATAACATAGTCGTGCACATGCCAGTAACAGGAATATATTAACATCTTTTATTTGCTAGACAAAGAGCAGTGTCCAATATAAATTTCCCCAAAACATTTAAGACCTGTGAATTTCTGACCAGTTCACAAAACCACCAACTGACACTTTAGCATGAAGGAAAAAAACAAACCTAACAGACTGTCAGCTCTAAAGACATTACAGAGCAGAAACTTCCAAAAGCGTTATACAAGCTGTCTTTCTGGGCAAATGAAAAATATAGCTCGTATAATACATTAACAAAAATTCACAAGATTATGTTTTGACATACTTAACAAGCATTCTCTATTTGTCTCCAACAAACAAAGCTAAGGAAATAATGTAACCATCTTTACACAGTAAATTAAGGTTACAAGTCATACACAAGAACAGAACTGCTTGCGCATTAAAAACTGTTCAGCTCCATTGTCATACTCTAAATGTTGGCTCTTAAACCATTTTCGGTTACATACAAGCAAAGGTTATTATATATCCAGCAATTAATAAATTTTCAATAATTTAAGATATGGTAGCTTAAAAAAGTAGACTGAGAATGGTCTTGATAAGGCAGGTGAAACATCTTAGTGGAACTAAACTCACAGAAGCTTCTGCCAATGTTTTCAAATATCCAGATTGAAACTGAAAGGTTTTGATTAAAATATTTTGTGGGTGTCAGGATGTCTTTTTCTTAATGCATGACTCAAGCAGAGCAAGTCAGGTAAGCTCTGTGTGTGCGTGCACCCAAGTGTGAAAGATCTTGTGGTATTAAAGCAAATGGAAACTTGCAAGCGTTAACACTGTGCTTTTGTTTTTTTTTGTTTGTTTTTATAACCTGCTTACTGTGCCACTGAATACCAAGTATTTCTGGTCCTTTTAATATCTACCTTTATAATCTACACTAGTGTTTTGACGTGCTGCCTAATTGTAAGGCAAACTGCAAATGCAGGAAGTTACAGGAATTCCATTTCCAGAATACATGCCTGAGGGACATCATCAATTTCATAAATGAAAAGTCTAATGTACCTACCACCTCACTACCTCACCAGAATACACAATGGCAGCTGAAGGACTGGTCCGGTGACATTTGATAGCTGAGAGAAATCCCACTGTTAGCTGCACTTTCTATCAGAATGGCAATTCCATCCCACCTGTTCTAAAGCAATGCTGTCTTCCTTCACCCCTTCCCATGCTTTATTCTTTCAATTTTTCACGGAGGCAAAATTGAAAAAACCAAGACATTGGCAATGAATTAATTAGCAGCCTATGAGTAGCTGTTAATCAGCTTTTCCACTAGTCTAGGAGTCCAATCACTTTACATGAAACTAATTTTGAAAAGTACACAGTGTTTCTGAACAAAGTGCATACCAACACTTACTGGTTTAAAAAGCAGTGCAACCCACATGAGTTTGGTGGCATTTAAATTTTAAAAAGTTAATTAAAAACTTAGCAATTCCTTACATCTCTGGAAAATAAATATGGCTGACTAATTTACCCTCCCTGAGACCCTTAATAAAAGGAATATTAAAACTTTAGAAGGAATGTCTTTGCAATATCCCACTAATATTAAAATGTGGATTTAAAATTCATAGTCAAATCACTATGTATTATATATTCTGATGCTTATAGGAAGCATCGAATTTCCTTTGGTTCATTAATAAACACTTTAAAAATGTATTTAAAAAGTATCACTTGCATCCCAGATACAAGAATTATTTAAAAAAGAGGGGAACATTGTCCATGCATTTAAGACCACAACAACAAATGGCACTGCTTTATAATCTATGCCTCTGAGAAGAGAACAGAATTTAAATTATAGTGACTACAGAATAGTTTTAATGTAAATGTGAAAGGAACCTTTCCTGTTGGCTACTCAAATCAAGCTGTTAATTTTTGTTTTATTAACTCGTTGCCTCCACAGAAATTGCTTGTTTTTAAGAAAATCAGGTTTCTCACACCCAAATCGGCTGCCTTCCCGTGAGTCCCTAAAGTACAGTCAAACAGAGGAAGGTAACATCACTTCCCATGCTTGAAATGCCAGAGTCTTGTGAACTCTGGATTACAATGTAGGAGACCCCAAATCCAAAGAAAACAAAAACATTTCAAAATGAGGAGCGGTGGAATCCTATTAGTGGTCTTTGTTATTCTGATTTTATTTATGTTTTGCTGCTTTTTTTTTTTTTTTGGTGTTGCTTTTGCAAGACAACAATTTGTTCACTAACAAATGAGGGAAAAGAAACTTTGAAAGGAGTTTGCTCAAGCGATCCAGAAAAAAGGAAACGACTCCCTTGCAGGAAGTATGAGCTTTCCCTAAAACTGGCTGTAGGCCCTCAAGTTATTCACCACTTGAGTTCCTTCCCAGGGCAGGGAACTGAGAAATGTCTCTGAACACTGACAAGCTCCATGTTGGGGTTTGATTGGTGGTTGATAACCTTTGTTCAGTGAAACAAACAAGTGGATTTTAATAAAGAAAATGAATTCTCACAAATGAATTGATAAGGTAAAGGTTTGTTAAACAAGGAGACAAATGTGATGAGGCAAACCAACTTCAATTACAAAAACCACCACTGTAATGTCACATGCAAAGTGGAAGTAGGGATTTGCTTCTTGAATGGGCCAAAAATACAGTTTAGACGGCTTAATCCTAAAACTAAGAGACAATTTATAGATTTACCTCGGACATGAGTAGAGGTCTGGAAAATGGATGGCATTCAAGTTATAGAATACCATACTTTCATGAGTGTGTATGTAAGAACAGCAATGTTAACATGTAACCGTAATTTACATGAATACTTGGCATTCTGGAGCTAGTTACTTTTGAATAATCAAAGCCTCCCCCCCCCAACTAAACACTTGTGATTTGTCAGTTATTCCATTGCAAATGCAGGCTATCTGGAGCAGTCTTTACATTTGAGATCACATTGTTTAAAAAATATATATTTTTATATCGTCCAGTACTCTTTAGACAGATGAGTCAAGTTCCCACGTGGGTTGGAACATACTTCATGTAAGACTGATTTTAATTTGTTTTCAGCACTTTCATAGAAGGGACTGTCCCAGATCTGTAACTGTTCAATGTTGTATTCACTTCACAGTGTATCAAGCACCAGCGTTGCCATGAATTGGTTTCAAATAACCCTTTATATATAATTTTATATTTTTATATATATATATAGTTATATCAAAACTGATAGTACATAGTATAACTGGAAGAAAGAACTAAACTTAAAAGGATATGCTGAAAGGATGGTTTGTGAACACAATAAATAAAAGTCCTCCCTCCCAACCCCTCCCCCAACAAAACAAAAACAAAAACCAGTTGTAATGTACATGGAAAATTGTGCACAGCAGATTTTTTTTATATAAAAAGTAGATTCAGGAGCACATCCAATTATAAATGATTGTTAGGAAAATCATATAAAACAATGGAATACATAAAAGTGTCAAGAGTAATCGTCAGGGTGCGAAATTCCTTGGTGGCCAGATGCCCATGGCAAGCAGAAATTATCCTGGCAGCATCACTAAGAGATCGATGTCCACAGAAGAATCCCCAGGGGTGCAAGCAGCATGGGCAGGTGGAGGATTTGAATTTCATACCCTGATTCATAGTTTTCACAATTCCATGTGCAATTTCAGAAAGATTCATCATTGACCGCTGACATGTCGCCCTTTGGCGTGGAGGAGCGGGAGGAGCCCTTGTCTGTGCTCTCCGAGCCGGAGCTGCTCTGGTTCTGCTGCTCTGACCCTGCACTGGAGGTCACTGTGGAGGAGGAGGTCGAGGAGGAGCGAGTCTTTTCCTTAAAGTCTGTGATAATGACGGTGACGTTGCCCACAGTCACTGCCAACTGCTGAGCAGTGCTTCTGTCCACATTTTTCAGCCGGGGCCTGAAAGCAACACCAACCAGGAACAACCAATTAGATCAGCTTCAGATGAAAGCAACTGCTGGCACAGAGTCACCAACACACACAAAAACTTCTGACACCATGGCGCAATCCAAACAACCCAAATCACTACCAAACTGCTGATTACCTCAGCACCAACAGTGACCGAAGGTCTGGATCACTGCGGAATTACCAGCAGTGATCTGGCTCCTGTTTTGATGAGTGATATAAAAGTAGTGTGTGTGTGTGTGTCATAGAGCACACATGTATTGAAAACCAACATACTCATAACTAGCTCTTCATCCTCCCCTTTGTCAAACTACAAACCCATAGGCACAAAACACTGGTTCCCTGCTTATGACTTAGTAAATCAGAGCTACAGCTTATTATTCTACTCTAGTTTCAAATACCTTGAGGTGTGATTCGTTTCACTGGTCTTTGTCGTAGCATTTGCAGACTGTATACTGTTTGCTTCGCTGGGAGGATCTTTCAGAATATCAGACTTTGGTCTAAAGGGGATGATATAAAAAGGCACTTAAAAGATAGCTTTGATAAACATGTAAAAGATTACATACTATACTCAGTTTCCCAGGAACTTACTTTGTTTTCTTGTTGGTGTTTTTCTTGGTAACACTGGGACTGATTTCCTTATCTTTCTCAGGTTTCTCTTTGTCTTGTTTTTCAACTTTCTCCTTCTTCTCCTTTTTAGGGGGTGGTGGGGTGGCATACTGTTGTGCCACTTGTTGTGCCACCAACTGAGAATTGATCCGAGGCTTTCTAAAACATTCAAGAAAAGATACATCATTATTTGCTTTATGAATATATCTTTAAACTTATTATTTTGGTCACATGATTTTATTACTGGGGTATCTGGCAACTTCACAGGAAATTATTTGTGCTACTTCTCCATTATTATATCTATGTGGTCCACAGAACTTCTCCTGATCCCCTTCTTGTATACTCACTTTTGATGATGTATACTACATGATGTATACTACTACATCCCTGTGCCATGAAGAAGTCTTCCAGTGAATAAAACACATTGTTTTCAGAGTGTTGTAAACAATACTTTTGAGCAGTCAAGACTGTACCGACAAGACAGTTTTCAAGTATTCCTGCCTGCCACAGAGGGTTTATATATTATTAAATTGTCACAGGTAATCCCTCAAAAAGAGAATGAAAATATAATTATGACATCCACTCATCAATTCAGTCATTATGACTTGGCCTGCTCCCCTGCAGCTCCGTGGCTGGCACAGACAACATATACAGAGCAGTGAGAAGTCACTGTGGTTCATACAGAGAGGGTAAAGAATGAAAGTCACTATAAAAATTCTAAGATAGACGATACATTCATTGTGCTGTCAACCATTATGCCTACACCAATCTCCAACTGACACTGGCTCTTAGCACTATTGTTCACAAATTCTAAATGGTGCCAAGCAATTTTCACAATGCATGACCATTCAGTCAAGTGGGAAAGAAAGTTTATGCACTTTTCTATTAAATACTAATTTTCAAAGACATTCCCATCTAGATAAAACATTTATTAACAAAGTAAACTCTCCAAGTAGGTGACAAATATCCCAACAGGTCATTACTGAGTTCCAACAACTGACTGACACGATGTAATGGTCACCTTCTGAGCTTACAGCCCCTCTTGGTCCCCCAGGATGGAGGAGAGTATCTGAGAAAAGTTAAGATAGAACTGGCTCATCAACGGGAGAGTCAGTGATGGAGGATTAGAAAAATTTAGACACAAATCTAGAAAAAAAAATTGCAGATAATTCTGCTATTTTAAAAAGAGAGTTGTAGATGTATGAATGCTTCCCTCCCCCCAAATTAAACAGGGTAACAGAACTTTTTTTGGAGCAGGATGTGGCTGAGAAGGAATATAAGACAGGCAAGGACAATGCTTGCTTCGCATCCAGGTAAGCCTGAGGGAATGCTCCCAGTGTGTCAGGACTGGTTTAGAGGCAGTGTGGCTTTGCCAGGAAGCCTACTGACAAAGGTGCAGTCTCTGATTAAGTTTCCCATGGGCCTCTAGGAGCATTCTTCGTCATATAAGGTAGCACACCATGAAACCCAGTGGCCTCGGTGTCTAACATAGAGGTGAAGTAACACTAGAAAAGGGATGAACACTTATCTGAGCCCCACCCAAATGAAGCTGTAACCGCTAATGGGTAACCTGCTAATGGGTAACCTCTTTTCCCAGGTTTTACAAAGGCAGCAGTAAGCTATTCTAACACATCCTACTGATTCAAAGAGGAAGTATGACTGCTAATACAAAGAGATAACATCTACTACAAAACATTGCACAAGCACTCACTGATGGAGACACAAACAGAACATGTGTCTACAGAGATTACCACAGTTTAAGCAAAATGCCTCAAGCGCACCAATACTCAGGTGTCAAAACAAAGTACACCAGTTAATGTGAACATATCACTAAAACTTTATTAAATTACACCTTGAGGGAGAATTTCAACTAAGCAAATGAGCAATGTGACTCAACAAGAGAAGATCTGGACACCATCTTAGAGCACCTATGACACACAGTTAAAGGTGAACCAGCTGCCTGGCCAACCTGACCACCAAGCTACCCACCCAACCAGAGTTCATTTTCCTCATATCACTCTCTCTAGGACACTTACCCCACTGCACTGTAATTGCCAATCATTGTATGCTCCCCAATAGCAAGACCATCTCTTAATCACCTGTTACCACAGTAATCAGCACAGTACCATAAAAGCATCTAGTGGATGGGTGAAGAATTAATGAACACATCTGAAAAAGTCATAGCAGGATGAGGACTGAGAAGAGGATCCAAGTTTTTAGTGCTTCATCAGTATGACTTTTAGGGAGCAGGTCACATAGAATCAGAGCACTAAAGAAGACTAAAGTCATCAGAGGCCTGACACACAGGGTGGGAAATAGAAAGCCCTGTTTGAGAATTGTGGTGCTGAGGGGTCATGGGGTAACCCAAGCCACTGCCCAAAGGAATAAGCAGAGTTTGAGATTTCTATAGGAAGGGGAGATTTGTACATTGAAAAAAGTAAGAAAGACCTAAGGCAGAGGGTGTTAACTCACAGGGCGCGAGACAAGGAATGTGGATGCTTTCCTCGGAGACAGTACAGGGGTATTTGGTAATGGTGTGTGTGTGTGTGTGTGTGTGTGTGTGTGTGTGTGTGTGTGTGTGTGTGTGTGTGTGTGTGTGTGTGTGTCAGAATTTAGAAATGAGATCAGAGAAACTGAGCATAAGAAAGGGTGCCTGGTGGGGAGCAGCATGCATGGCAGAGCAGAGAGAACTAATGTAGAGCAGAGCAGAAGTCACTTGGATCTCACAAACTACCATTAATGGTGTAAATGTGGCCTGCCTTAGAATTCTCAACTAGCCAGACATGCTTTTGTAGATGGATTCTTCCTGCACAAGGCTGCTTGTCAGTGGCCTACTGGGAACCACAGGTAAGGCATGTGTGCTTTGCCACTGGGAATCACTGCAACACTTCAGGAAACATTCTTCAGCACATACACCACAATTCATTATCTACAGATCAAAATATACACATACAAAGGTTATTTGGTGTGAAAGTGCTCACTCCTCCTAAGAAATGAATGATTCCCAAGAATGGTAAATATATCTTCCTCTCTGATGGTTAAGCTGTGTGAGAACTGATTATGCTAAGAAAAATGGGATATCTGCTAGAAACAACCTGTTTTGGTTCAAATGTTCTATGTCAACTCTATGTCTGAAGTTTACAACCTAACACACTTCAGTCATCACCCACCCGTCTCAGAAAATATGCAATAAGATTTTTTTTTTGGTTTAGTTATCACAGCTGACTTTTCTAATGAGTTCTCCCCAACAAGTCCTATAGTCCTTCTAGGATCAGGGCATGAGGGTGATGTTGGGCAAAATAAAATAATTCCAACATACAAAATATGTCTGAACAAAGTGCATACCAAACAAACAACGCAAAAATTAAATAATAAGATGAAAATAAACACATCTCAATCATCTATATCGTAATAAATTCACCCTGTAATTGTATACTGCAGCTGAGTGGATTTCAAAACAAAGTTCAACCTGCTGTTTCCAGGAAACTCATTTTACCAACAAAGGCAAGTACAGACTTGAAGACTAAAAGACAATCCTACAAGCAAAAGGCAATTTGAAAAAAGTTAGGAGCGGCTATAGTTAATTTTATTATGTTAAAATAATAGACTTCCAATTTAATAAAGGTAGAGACAGAGATGGACATGACATCATAAACACCCCCCACCCAAATGATAGAGCACCAAGATACATGAGACAAATATTAGTACAACTAATGATATTGGTAACATCACTGGATTCTTAATATTCCACTTTACAATTATGAGGAACCTTAATACACTGTTGATGAAACATAAATTGATGTAGTCATGCTGGAAAACAATATGGATTTACCTTTAATACAGAAATGGAAATAGAATTCTAAGACCTGGCAATCTCACTCTTGGATATTTACCCAAAGAACCTGAAACCATCAATTCCCATAATAATTATATGCTCTACAATGCTTACTGCAGCAATTTATTTATAACAGCTAGGACATGGAAACAACCCACTTATCAGAGGACTGGGTCAAGATGTCGTATACCCACATTATGGGATACCATTCACACATAAGGTAAAGATAAAATGTTGCCGCCATTTACAGCAAAATGGTGAAACTCAAGGGAATTAAGTATAATAAAGCAAATCAGGATGACCAAGACAAATACTGCACTTTTTACAATAGATGATTTGACAAGCTAATTAATTATAAAACTAGCAGACATTGAAAAAACAAAGTGAAGTTTCTGAGGTTAAGAGGGAAGGAGAAAGGATCAGAGGGGATTATGGTAGGAGAATAAACAACAAGAAAAAACTGTACAATCCTTTCACAAGGGTAAGGTAAAAAAGATGCTGTCTTGACAGAAGTAGGTTCTGGCCATTAGGGCATGTGCCCTCCCTTTATTTCTCAGTTAGAAGGCTCCTGGCTGCATGTGAAAGAATGCGTATGTCCAATCTCTATTCTTTTGTGAGGTAAGCTGTGCAGAGGGTTTTTCAGACTGGATGACACAACCATGTCTGAAAGTAGAGAGGCAGAACCATTCATAGGCATCACAGGACAGGCATATCATGAAGAAAGATCTTTCTTCTTGCATGACAACATCCTCTAAGAGGAAATACTGTCTCCATTTTACAAATTACAAGTCTGAAGTACAGAAAGATTAAGAAAGTCTTTAAAGGTTTACAGTTAAATGGTTGAACTGCCTATTTTTTTTTAACTCAGTTCCATCTGAACTTTCTCTGTGGACTCCTCAAACATGTCTCCTCCCCTCTGAAAGGCTTATCTAGTGTATAGTATGTGTGGTGTGTTTTATGTAACTCAGGTGAACACCCAGGCTACTGTTTGGCTAGAAACACTCCCAAGAACCCACAGGCACTTTAGCCTCACCATCCTCATTTCTTATGAGAGGAAGACAACCTGGAACCTGGTCGTCATTAAGGAAAGAGAAGAGTTTTTTTCCCTCCAAAATATTCCCTCTAAGAAATAAAAACTTTACCCTGGTGCATAACACTGATAGGTGAGAAATTCTTTTACATTGCTTAGTGAAGCCTTTATCTTCTAAGTGTAATACAATACTTTCAACATGTGGAAAGCCAATTCTTCAATACAGAGCTGAGTCTGGAATATCCAAAATTAAACTTTTCAACTAACAAACCTTAAGTAAAAAATTAACAGTCT